TACAGTGAGGAGGCGCAAATATCATCGTGGTCGGAGGAGAATAGTGCTGCAGGGAGTTACTGTGGAAAGTTACCCGGGATCTGGCCGAGGCTCAACACTTAGGGAGAACAAAAATACGAGACGAACTTACAATCAGACTGCTGCCAGAACCATCCAAAATGGAACTCAAAACTGCTGCTCATGGGCGTGTCCGAAATGCTAAGATGTCGGTTCTAAACTCATCATCACGTTTGCCCAGGGCATATCAATAAACTACGAAAACATTTATTTCCGACACATATGGATTTTCTGGGATTGGCTATGAATTGTTGTTGTTTTATTACTTCACACAGGAAACAGCAAAGGACCCGCCATGAGTCCAAAGAGTTCACGTGACTGAAATATTTCTAGTGCAGAAAATTTACAAGGCGACAAACATTCTATAGTTTACCGTACTGGCTTGTCGTCTGAACGGAACTGCTCTAGCGGCCATTAGAGCAGTTCTGAATGGCTAACGTTGTTGGAAATATGTCTTAGCGTTTGTTTTCCCCATATCTCTCACCCCGCCAACGAAGCTGTTGTATTGCCTTCAACTTACTCTGTGTTTCTGAGATGTCATAAAGCTGTGATGTGTGATATTTTTTCTGCGATTTTTGTGTTCACCGCTGAATAAAGTGAGATGTAACTGGACTTTTTACTCAAGGAAAGAGAGAGCGAGTGAGAGGGACAGCGGACTTCGGCGGGGGGCCCATACTGTACTATGAGTGGTCGGCCTAGAACAACATCATTTGCTGAAGGTGGAAAATCAAATCAAAATACTTCTTTTGGAAGGATGAGAACCTTAAGTAAGTGCTGGCATTTATTTAAAATGCACAGCCATGTTCGTTGAGACAACCAAAATGGCGGGGTCATAGAGAACAAGTTTACTTTTTGTAAAATCGGGGTTAAATAATCATAATCATGACATTTTTACAACTTCTCTAGGCACACAATTATATTTTAAGAAAGAGTTTTCAAACTACACCTAAAACTTAGACTTTGAGTAACAAATCTTCAGCTTTCTGTGAGAAATTCATTCTTGGCCTACCATTTCCGTTGTGAAGGAGAAATCCAAACTGAAACATCACCACCGCCCTAAAAATCACAAACCGTGTTGTTTCATCCCAACACACGTCCTTGCCACTGATACAGGCCTCATTGATTTTTGCTATTACGTAGCAGTATGTGATTATCTACAGTCTTTTAATCATAATCTGTCTACCATATCACAGAAAATAAAAAGTAACATTCTTGCTTGATTATAGTTTATCAGGTAGGAGCATTGAAGGCAGATTTAATTTGTGAGAATAAAATCAATAAACCTTTGATGGAGGTTTAAACTCAGGGCACTCATGGTAGCAGATATGTAATCTACCACAGGCAGCTAAGAAGTGCATAGTGATATATTATTTCTGAATCATACTGCCAGTTTGATATTTTTTTTTAAATATACTCTGGCAGGTTTCCTTACCTTGTCATTAGTTAAGTTTGCTTATCTGGGAACACTGGAAAACCCTGATTTTCTTCTTGATCTCCTCCACAAACATGTACAGCACTAATTATCAAATGAAATCATTAATGACAATTTTAAATTGCTAGTTTTTTCAAAATGTAGGTGAATATGCCATTTAATTGCTGCAAGGAATGTCTCAACTAAGGTTCTCATTTTTTCAATTGTTTCTGTTATTTTTTAAATATTTCCCTGCTTGCCAGATTAATCAGAATTCTCATGCTTTTAAAATGAAACATGTTTCCTTTTTCTGTTTGCTTTATCTGTTGTTTTCTTTCATTTCCATTTCTTTCATCAGGCTGTTTATGTTTTTTATATTTTCTGTTTTGTTTTGTTAGTATAATTTTTCTTGAACAGAGCTAAAGCAGGCTTTGCGTTCATTGTTCCTGTCTTTTTATATAAGAAATTGTATTTATATTAATTTATTGCAGTTCATTGTTATTGTTATTAACCTTTTATTTTATTCTAAATTATTTAAAATTATAAAATTAAGGTTCAGATCTCAAACCATTTCACCCACAGGACTCAAGGCTATACCCGGCTGCTGCAGCTGTTAGAGTGTCCAACTTTTAACATTTTCTGAGGTTATTTGGGATTTGACTCATTGGCTTGCCATCTTTTTAACTCTTTGAGTCCCAGATAACATGTGATGTGTGAATCACTGAATGTGCTGAATCCCCTTCTTAGGTTAATGTGGCCTCTTACTTATTTGTATTTGGCTAGGACACAAGAAACTGTTACTTGTCCAATGTTCACTATTACTATTATATTACCACTTTGAAAGTAATACTCTGATGAATTGTAATCACAGATATTTCTTCATTAGCATCAGCTCTCCTCCGAATGATGGGTCTGATGGATTGCGTTTAAAAATATACCCTAACAGGGCCTCAATAGGTTTGCTTTCATTTGAGTTGAATCCATAACCCTTCATTTGTTTGAGTGTTGGGGCTAGGGCTAGACCATTATTGCAAATCTGTGTCGGAGCTGATGGTCTGCCTGCCATATTTGCCAGAAATAAATGCTAATTTTACATCATTGAGGCCCTGTTAGGTTTTATTTTTAAACGCAACCACTTAGACGCATCATTTGGAGGAGAGCCTTCGCATCTCCTGCATGACCTTTTTCTGGAACTGAAAGAGTTAATCTTAGCATGGTCAAACTTTAGGAGGATAATAGAAGGAATATCCTTTTATTGGAAATGTAGGAGGAAGAATTACTGACATTCTTAAGGTTCTGAACACAGAGGGGACTGGCTCATAGAAAGTGTTGTTTCTTGGAAAATAACATTCTTTTTCCATGTGAAGTGTCATATTAGTTTAGAATGGGATAGTAGTAAGTGTTTGGTTTCCTGTACAAGGAGGTAGAGGCCACTAGCATAATTGTGGATAGGTTATCAAGGACATTCTGGAAGAGGGGGGGGGGGGGATGAAAGTGACATTCTGCAGAGAACTGCCACATGAAGATGTTCTAGCCCCTTATATTTTTTATACTGTACTAAATGGGTGATGCCAAGCCATGGTCGGGTATGACTGAGTTACAGTATTACAATAGTTGGTACTACTTGTTCTCTGTTAACTTGGTCAAATATGACTAAGTTACCATATAACAGTAGTTGGTACTACCTGTTCTCTGTTAACTTGGTCAGATATGACTAATTTACCATTTAACAGTAGTTGGTACTACCTGTTCTCTGTTAACTTGGTCAGATATTACTAAGTTACCATATAACAGTAGTTGGTACAACCTGTTCTCTGTTAACTTGGTCAGATATGACTAAGCTACCATATAACAGTAGTTGGTACTACCTGTTCTATGTTAACTTGGTCACATATAACAGTAGTCTGTACTACTTGTTCTTTGTCAGTTTGGCCAGATATGGGTGAGCTGCCATAACAAAATAGTTAGTACGACCTGTCTGTGTGAACACCACATGTTGGACGGTGTATGCCAAATCTGTCATCCCATTTATGCCAGTGGCTTTGGTCGGGGAAACACACATTGGAGAGAATACTATTATTCTGTTTGTTCCTAAAATCCTAGGAAGAGGAAATGCAGCCTGAAAACATGTTATGCAGAGCAGACCAGACTCTAGGTTGGCAGCTGGTTTAGGAGGGAAGCTCTGATAGGCAGACAGGCAGACAGACCACTGCTCTTCTGATACAACAGCTACTGCACTATTCTTTGTTCCAAACATTTTCTTTTCTATGGAGTAAAGAAGCAGGCTAAGAAAGGGATAATGCTGGGTAGGCAGCAGCTCATTGTCTCAAGTGAGAACTCATTATTTTTCTTCAGTGTAGCTCTCTGAGACAATTAGTGCCGGCCATTCTCATAAACCATCTCACTTGTTGTTCTTCAAGGAGTTGTATGACTGGTTTCAGTCCTGGTACTGCTCTTTCTTCATTTGTGATTGTATCTCTTCTTGTCTGGAAGCTTTTTTAAGCCACCTCATCTCAGTTGTTATGATTTTGCACTCATTTCTTGTAGGGATAAATGTTTGACACTTGTTTCATAGAGCTGGCAAAATGTTTCCTACTAAATTGGTCTAGACAGTTAATGTGTTATCATTTTTATGAATGATTTTTGCCTTTACAATGCAATAATTTTGTCGTTTAGGTACTGAATTGTATTTCTTTGTTGCTATAAGTGCAGCTAACCTTTAAAAAAATTTTTTTTTTAAATATTTATGTTTACTTAATACCCACCGAGGATGCTGCAGTAGTACAATAACTAGATGTTTGCCTACTACATGATGGTCTTGGATTCAAATCTGCATCAGAGCAAATTTTAAAACAGATAACCTCGGCTCTAAGGTAAATCCAACTAGAAATCGGTACCAGGAAATGTCCTAGAAAGTAAAGGCAGTGATAGTGATGTTGACACCAGATTGGTAATAAAATTAAGATTAGTCTGTAAAAACATAAGGTTCAGCACCACATGCAGAGTGCACCATCATCGGTCAGCGGGCTCTTTACAGAATGTTGCTGTCAACATGGCACACCTGATTGTCTCTGTTTCTCTTGCCATTTCTGCAGCCCTGTGTGTTTTCATCATCTTCAGTATCTTGTATCCACCTTCATGGATGTCGGCCTCTGTCTCGTTTTCTGGACTCTGAACCCTCTATCAACGTTCTCTCCAGGCCACCATGAGGTTAAACATAGCCAGAGTACCCCGGCTTTTGGGACAGGGTGCACCAGTTGCTTGAAAAGAAGCCTTTGCTATGTATACAGCTATTACCCAAGTCCCCATACTTCAATCTGTGGTAACTTGGTCATCTTCGGAAATGTATGTGAGATAATACATAATAATACGTATATCAGACACATAATCACTGAAACTCCCATTGGCAGTGAGTTTTATTTTGTGGTGCTAAGATGCTACTGTTTGTGGCTTTTCAGTATCCGAACCCTGGCGCTAGAAGTTGTCAGTGGCTGTCTGGTACTGAAAAGCTTGTGTGTGTGATAAAGGTGTTATGGCAGGTAAAGATATGTGTAGATGGTGTATCAGCTTTTATTAGATTGTGGAGCTTTCATTTCTTGTTTGTCTGAATAGTGGAGCTGTCAGCTTTCATTTGCAGCTTGGAATATATAGCAAGTTAAAATGTCAGCTTTCAATTGTAACTCCATCTGCTGTAGTCGAAATATTAGCTTTTTGTGGCTTGTCAAGTTTTCTTGATGCATCAGCTTTTGCACAGCAGCTTGCTGGATATACTAGCTGAAATGTAATCTTTCACTTACCAAATATAATCTTTCAGTTACAGCTTGCCGGATGTACTAGTAGAAATATAATCTTTCAGTTACAGCTTGCCGGATGTACTTGTAGAAATATAATCTTTTAGTTACAGCTTGCCGGATGTACTAGTAGAAAAATAATCTTTCAGTTACAGCTTGCCGGATGTACTAGTAGAAAAATAATCTTTCACTTAGAGCTTGCTATTTTTTACCATTTGAAATATAATATTTCAGTCAGTTTTGCCAGATATACTAGTTGAAATATCTTTCTGTTACTGCTTACCCAAGGTAGATGTAGAAAAATAATCTTTCACTTACAGCTTGCTAGTTGCACAAGGACATTTCTGCACATCCTCTGTGCTGTTCTTTCTTCAGCTATCACTGGAGAGTTCCCATGCTGTTGGTGCCAGATAGCAACCTGATTAAAAGTCCGCTTGTCTTTTCCTTAGTGAGTTGAAAATTGTCTAGACCTGCTCACTCCCAGCTAAATCACGTCCTCAAAGTATGGATAATCTGTACCAAAGTCCACTTGATTCCTAGAGACTTCACCACATCTGGTTTATCATAATATCACCCCCCTCCCCCCCATTTCCCCCCTTGTTTTTCACCCACCATAGAAGTGGCAGCAGCTTATCTATCAATACATCTGAATGTCGTTCATGCTTCCCCGTGTGGCTTCATGGGTCCCATTTGGAAGGGAGGGGTGGTGGGTTGGAGAAAATAAACCCACCCCCACCCAACAATCATGTCAAAAAGGTGATTAATTAAGGATGTTTTCTTTGAAGTCAGAATGCACTTGTCTAAGATGCCAGGAATCAGCATTCTGCACACAACTATGCCATATCTGTAAAATGGATGTGCATGCAAAACTGATGTTCTTGGGAACAAGACAAAACCCCATAAACAGACAAATAAGTGGAACTTTCCAGTGGAGTTTACAGATAGTGAATGTGAAGTAGAAGCATGTCATGCTGACCCTTAATATCATTCAGTTTTAACACCCACAAGTTTGCTTCCTTCAAACAAATATTTAGATTAGAAATAGTTAAAAATAGGGAGTTATAGTAACATACTTTTTGAGAACAGAACAAATATCTTTTGATTCTAGCTTATATGATAACATCATTTAAAGACCAGATGTCAACTGTGTCCTATGGGTAGGTAGGTAATTTGTGCCCCTCCAGGGTTACTGTCCTTAGGATTAAAACCTCAAGGATAAGAATTAAACAAGAAGATATCACAGGAACCCTGATCATCCTTAAAACACAGTTACATGAGGACACCCCTACACCTAATCTGGGAATAGGATGGGGTCTATAGAACTGTGTCCTTTAAGCTGGTGCATCGTAAATATGGGCTTTGTGTTTAACATGCTTAGGTAGTTGTTTCAGTGGCGTGCTTTTATTTATAGTTTGTGATATATGGTGGGTCAGATATCAGCTTTCACATGTAATGTGTAAAATGTTGTAGTTTGAGTTCAGCTTTCTGCTTGTGAGTTATGTGGACTAAAGTGCAGTTCATCATCATCATCCTGTAGCAGGTCCTTTGCAGAAAGTAACCTTTTAACCATATTTCTGGCTGGACATAAAAACTGCACTAATTTTATGTGACAACACCTCTAACTAGACATAAGACTGCAGCAACTTTATTTAACCACACTTCTAACCGGACACAAAACCACATTTCTGGCTGGAGTAAGACTCCATTAACTTTAGTCACACTTCAGACTTGACATAAGACTGCAGTGACTTTATTTAACTACACTTCCAACTGGACATAAGACTGAAGTAACTTTATTTAACCACACTTCTAACTGGACATAAGACTGAAGTAACTTTATTTAACCACACTTCCAACTGTACAAAGACTGAAGTAACTTTATTTAACCACACTTCTAACTGGACATAAGACTGAAGTAACTTTATTTAACCACACTTCTAAATAGACCTAAGACTGCTAGTGATTTTATTTAACCAGACTTCTAAATGGACAGAAGACTGCAAATGATTTCATTTTATCACACTTCTAAATGGACAGAAGACTGCAAATGATTTCATTTTATCACACTTCTAAATGGACGTAAGACTGCAAATGATTTCATTTTATCACACTTCTAAATGGACAGAAGACTGCATGTGGTTTTATTTAACTACACTTCCAAATGGGAGTCGTCATAGTAAAGCAGCTATATGCTCACCTGCTGATCGAATTTCGTGGGTTCAGATTATGACGGTACTGGGCTTTCCTAAAAAGTGACCTTAGCTCCCAGGTTGACCCAGCCTTGAGTGGATACCAGGTGCAGTCCTAGGAAGTAAAGGTGGTCAATGGCATGTTGACCACATCATCAGCCTAGTGCCGATTGGTCTGTAAAATATAGGTCTAGCTCTATATACCCAATACACCTGAAGACATGGAAAAGGGTCATTTACTTTGACTTCTAAATGGACAAAAGACTGCAAGTGATTTTATTTAACCACATTTCTAAATGGACATAAGACTGCAAGTGATTTTATTTAACCACATTTCTAAATGGACATAAGACTGCAAGTGATTTTATTTAACCACATTTCTAAATGGACATAAGACTGCAAGTGATTTTATTTAACCACATTTCTAAATGGACATAAGACTGCAAGTGATTTTATTTAACCACATTTCTAAATGGACATAAGACTGCAAGTGATTTTATTTAACCACATTTCTAAATGGACAAAAGACTGCAAGTGATTTTATTTAACCACATTTCTAAATGGACATAAGACTGCAAGTGATTTTATTTAACCACATTTCTAAATGGACATAAGACTGCAAGTGATTTTATTTAACCACATTTCTAAATGGACATAAGACTGCAAGTGATTTTATTTAACCACATTTCTAAATGGACATAAGACTGCAAGTGATTTTATTTAACCACATTTCTAAATGGACATAAGACTGCAAGTGATTTTATTTAACCACATTTCTAAATGGACATAAGACTGCAAGTGATTTTATTTAACATTTCTAAAAGGACATAAGACTGCAAGTGATTTTATTTAACCACATTTCTTAATGGAATAAGACTGGAAATGATTCTATTTAACCACATTTCTAAATGGACATAAGACTGCAAATGATTCTATTTAACCACACTTTTAAGTGGACATAAGACTCGAGGGATTTTATTTAACCACACTTTTAAATGGACAAAGACTGCTAGTGATTTTATTTAACCACACTTCTAAATGGACATAAGGCTGCAGTAACTTCATTTAACCACACTTCTAAATGGATGCAAGACTGCAAGTAACTTTATTTCATCACACTTGTACATTGACATAAGATAACAGTAAATTTTGTTTACCTCACTTCTAGGCTGATATAAGACCATACATTTATTTCACCACACTTCTGGATCTATGTAAGACCTCTAATTCATTTCACTACACTTCCACCTGAACATAAGACTGTTTAAACGCACTTCTAACTGGACACAAGGCTGCAGTAACTATACACACTGTTTCTACTGTTTCTTCTGCTTTTGGAGTATTTTATAGGGCTGTACTTATTTGCCACTGTTGTTGCAAGCTGTTATATCTTCTTTTTCTTCACGTTCTGATTGTTCATCCACTTGTGGACCCTAATCCTGTTTCAGAACCTGAGTTGTGTGCACAACTGTTTCACAGGTCTGACTTATTTGTATGTAGACTGTTGGTTCCTTTCTTCTCACGCAGATGTGCTATGCCCATAAAAGAAGCTAGTCCAGTCTAATGGCGTGCTTATGGGTAGGTAGTGGGCTTGTTCTAGTTTCCCCCACAATGGGGCCCCAGAAGCCGAATTTGCTAGATACCCATGCCATTACCACAGTCTACGATTCCCATTCCTACCTAAAGCATAATACAGCAGTAGCAGTGTCTTTCAGAAAGGCGCCGACAACAGGTTTATTAATTATAGTGACTTTGCCGAGGTGTAGCGGCTAGACACCCTCCCGTGGATCAGAAGATCTTAGGTTCAGGTCCTGGCGGAGCCTGACTTTTTTTTTAAACTCTGACCTTGGCTGCCAGGTTGACCTAGCCTTATGTGGTTGCCAGGTAACATCCTGATAAGTGTGCCTTATATGCACTGTGGGATACACCATGGTTTAGCAGCCCAGGCGCTCACCGGCAAATAGAAAAATTAAGAGTTCTGGTCCTGACGGATCCGAACTCTGGAAAAAAAATGAGCTTTGGTTTCCAGGACGACCCAGCCCTAAATGGGTAACAGGTAAAGTTCTGGGTAGCAAAGGTGGCCTGCATGATGTTAACCTCATCACCCACCAAGTGCTGATTGGTGTATAAAATTGAGGTCTAGCTCTATATACCAAGTGGGATATACCAAAGTTTTAGCGACTAGGTGCTCACCTGTGGATCGGAAGGTCGTGGGTTCATGTCCTGACGGAGCCGGAATATTTTGTTTAAAAAATGACCTCGGTTTCCAAGTCAAACCAGGCTTGAGTGGGTACCAGCTAAGGTCCTGGGAAGTAAAGGTGGCCAGATGATGCTGACCTCAGCACCCATCAGGTGCCGCTTAGTCGGTAAAATATATAGGTCTAGCTATGTATGCCAAATACACTTGGAGGTATGGCAAAGAGTTTTTTTACTTTATGCTCTGTACGCCTGAATGTGTGCAAAAATGTCCGTTGCTTACTTTTAACTTTGCTAACTTGTAACTTTGTCTACAAATTAATTCTTTTTTTTTTTAGCACTGTTAATTTAGTAGAATGGTAATAGATTTTATAGTAGCTTTATACAGTATTGTAGTAAATTTAGATCTTGATATATTTCTGTTTAGCAATGTAGTAACTTTGCTTAACACCTTAGTACTTTTACTAGACATAGTTTTGTATTAATGTTACATCTTTGTGTTGTATTCTTTGTAGAGCTGTAGTAATTGTACATAGCACAGTGACAACTTTGTGCTTAAGTAACTTTACTTAGCACTATGGTAACATTAAATGGTACTCTGGGACAACACAACTTAGTGTTGTAGTAACTGGACATAGTGTTATAGTATCCCTGCTTAGAACTGTTAAATTTACTTGGTACCCATCATAATTTACTAGGCACCGGTCATAATTTTACATAGCATTGTAAGATATTTGTATACATCTGTAGTATCTTTACCCAGTAATGTAGTAAATTTACTTACAAAGTAGTGAATTTGCTTAGGAGTGAATAAATTTTAGAATTGTGGTAAATGTAATCAGAGTAACTTTAATTGGCATTTAGACTTATAATTTAGCACTATAGCAGTGATTGGCTGAGTTGTTATAGGGCTTAGATGTCATGCAGGATACTTGGGTTTAATCCTCTGTGAGGGATGGAGAGACTTGATTCTGTGGGGACAGAGATAATTATCTTCACCTGCACAGTTCATAGTGACTGCACTAGCCATGCAGGTTTAAATCCTTAGTCTCCAGACCCGCGCCCCCCCCCCCCCCCCCCCCCCCACCGTAATGTGACTTTGTACTGCAATAACTGATTGATTTTACTTATTTATTGATAATGTTACTTTGTAGTGCAGTAACTGACTAATTTTTAGTCGGTAACATTACTCTGTTCTGCCATAACTGATTAACTTTACTGTTTAGTCATTAAAATTACTTTTACTGCAGTAACTGATTGACTTTAATGTTTACTCATTAACATTACTTTGTGCTGCAAAAATCGATTGCCTCAACTTTCATTACTTTGTACCGAAATAATTGATTGACTAATTTTTAATTAGTAATGGTAAACTTTGTACTGCAGTAACTGATTTACTTTACTTATTAATCAGTGACATTACTTGCTACTACAGTAACTGATTGACATTTACTTATTAGTCAGTGACATTACTTTGTACCGCTATAACTGATTGACATTAATTATTAGTCAGTAATGTTACTTACCACTGTAGTAGCTTCACTAGGTAATTTATGATAGTGTTTTAGTAATATTACATTGTAGAGCAGCCTCTTTATGATATATTTAGCTTCAGCATAAATGGTAATATAAAAAACGATAGGTTGCAATATTTCTCTTTATTGAAATGATATTCCCTTGAAGTTGACATTTTTTTTTCATTGCCTTAGCTTTGAAGTTTATATATGGTCTTTGAATTACATTCAGTGTTGTTAAAAACGGCTAAGTATATATATATATTTTATAAAACAAGAAGGCACTAGAACCGCAATAAAAAAAAAAAAAAAATATATATATATATATATATATATATATATATATATATATATATATATATATATATATATATATATATATATATATATATATATATATATATATATATATATATATATATATATATATATATATATATATATATATATATATATATATATATATATATATTTTTCCTGAATGATTTACAGATTTGACTTAATTATATCACAGTAGCGAGTCTAGAGATGGAGTGAAATCATATAGCTTAAAAAATACTGTGTTTTTGTAAACTTCTTCTGCTTTCACCCTTTAAAGGGTGGTTGGCAGCTAAGCTGTGATATCTACACCTTTCAGCTCAACACTTGATTTATGCAGACTTAAAATTATTCACCTCTTATGACATGCTTGACAGAGGGCAGCAGGTCTACCCTCCCAAATGGACCCAGAACCCGCATGGGGAATTTTTTTGAACTTAGTTACATCATCATCATCATCATGTTGTGCCATTATATTTTGAAGCTGGCCGTTTAGCCCTCCATTCCATTGTGTCATGTGCAGTCCTTTTGATATGATGGTTGGAAACCAATTCAGCTCCTTTGACCTCTCTCTCATTAGTGTTCTTTTCTCAGGCTAAGTTTAGCTTGGTATTTTCTGGTGAAACAAACAGAGTTTTAAAATTAATATAAAATCATTTTTTGTTGTTTTTTTTTTTTTTTTTTTTTTTTTTTTTTTGGAGCTGACAAATTTAACAGTTTAAAACCTGTGGATGCTTCACAGGGTTGTATTGTAAAAAAAAAATCCTCATGTGGATTCCAGGCCAATTTTCTTCAGGTGGGTGGGGTTATTTAACCCCCCTCCCCCCAAAGACAAGCATGTTGAAAAATGCAACTAACTAAAAGTTTGCTGACTCAGATGTGTTAACCCAGAGCTGCAAATATCACAGCCTGGCTGTAAACTACAGTTTGTCAGGGGGCGAATATTGAAGATGTAAGAAATACCACATGCCTGTTTCCAGATACCAGACCATAGAATCTGCCAGGGCTATTCAGTTAACTAACATTTTGGAACAAGGAGATGGTCACATTTTGGATCTGATTCTTGCATACTCTGTGTTTAGCATCCAGGAGGATTTAAACTAACTGAAGATGGTTTTTATTTGTATACCAGGCAAAGATGGCGGCAAGGTCACGACTGTTCTGGCCACAGCAGGGCAGGGGTCAGACCGCCCACAGGAGGTCAGCTATTCGGATGCTAAGGTCATTGGAAATGGCTCGTTTGGTGTGGTGTACCAGGCGAAGCTGGTGGAATCAGGCGAGTTGGTTGCAATCAAGAAAGTCTTACAAGACAAACGCTTCAAAGTAAGATTTTTAACTTATGGATTTTGTATGTATTCTGTCTTCGTGATTTACTGTGTTTAGTCTATGAATGACAGGACGATAAATAAGGTATTTTTTATCACCGTCATCATGTAGCATGTATTACTGTCATCACAGCTTTGTCAGAAGGCCACACAGTATCCTGGCAACTTTTCTTTCCTGATATTCTGTGCCCACTGTAGTGCTGGTTGTCCCCTGCCTCTTTTTTTTTAAGAACCACACCCTCCATCTGAGGAAAAGACGCTGGCATGAGATAGGACACATGTTGAGAAAACCTGAGAACAATATAACTAGAATGTCTTAAATAGAAATAAAGGAAGACAAAAAACTAAAACACACATGTAGAAGGGAGCTAGAGAGTAAGGTTAAAAAAAATGGAGAGGATATGGGCAGGAGAAGAAGAAGAAGACACCCTCCTTCACTGTTCTATCCACACCATTATTAATGCATTTAGTATGTCCTCAGTGTTTTAGTTTATTACTCTTGCAGTTTTAGAGTGTACAGTTTTGAGTTCTTGGCTGGATTTATCACAGCTGATACCAGAGTCGATCTTCATCTTGTTTGCCATTCTACGGTCCTCCCAAGATGCTATACATATTTTATTCGAATCCTGTCACTATTGGTCTTAAGAATCAGATTGTCATATGAAGGTTGTTACTCTAGGTCTTTTGGGATAGACTGTTATATAAATGCTGTCAATTTTGGTCTAAAGTAGTTGTATCAGTGCTGTTGCTGTAGGTCTTTTAGGATATACTGTTGTTTGATAGCCACCAATGTAGGTCTTAGACAGTTGGATCAGTGCTGTCACTGTAGGTCTGAGAGGTCAGACAGTTTAATCAATGCTGTCACTGTGGGTCTTACAGGTTAGACCAGTGTTTCCCAAACTTTTCTAAGTTGCTGCACTTTTTTTTTTTAAATTAAAATTTTTCTACGGAGCCCTAACCTAAGTAAAAGTATGACTATTTGTATGTAAGAGATTAAAAAAAAAAAACTTTTGTATCTTCAAATATTTTGCGGCGCCCCTGTGAAGAGGTCGTGGCTGCCCGGGGTGCTGCAGCGCACAGTTTGGGAATCACTGGGTTCGACCACTGTAGCAGTGTTGTCACTATAGCTTTTATCGATCAGGCCAGGGCTATTCAGCTTAGTTTACTCAGCTGCCAAAATGTTAAAAATGGGGATTGTTGCTGGCATAGGAACATCACCTTACGATACGGTTGGTAATATCCGTGGGCCACATGTTGGGCCTCCACGGGCCATGTTTTTTCATGTTGGCTGCCAGTTGAATAGCTCTAGGTTAGATCATCCTTTCCAATTTGGTGTTCCTTGAATCACAAGGGGGGTCCACAGAACTTATTTAAGGGATTTATAATTAAAAAAAAAAATCAACTTCAGAATGCACTTGTTTTTTTTTTTTCAGTTCTAGTATTTATAAAAGATGCAAATTTCTTCAGTATGACTATTACAAAATATGTGATCTGTAACAGACCTTACAAAAATGTAAGTCAGCAGGTCTTAAGTAATTGGGAACCCCTGGGTCAGATCCTTATAGGAATGTTGTCAACATAGGTCTTAAGGGTCGAACAGTTGTAGGAATCAAAGCAATGTTTCCTTGCTGTAAATTTGAACAAAGAAGACACAAATAATAGATTGCACATTTTATTGCCTGGCATATTTCGCTATATCTCATCAGGTGCATACTACAGTAACAGTTACGTAAATAAAGCAAATAAATGAATGATTTATAACTGAAGTACAAATTCAAAAACATCCATCCAGAACCAGTAAACAGAAAGATGATAGTGACCTTGTGATTGCCCTTTTTTAAAACAAGAAGCTGGTTTTTGAGAGTGGTTGAATTTGTGCTTTACTTAGATTCATTTATTTGACTCGTTTTATTTAGCTGTTATTGTGAGATGCTCTTGACAAGATGCCGCAAAATGGGCCAGGCAATAAATTGTGCAGTCTATTGTTTATGTCTTTTTTTGTTTAAGGATGTAGGAATGCCATCCCTATATGTCTTATTGGTCATACTGTCTTATAATACACAACAGGAGCTATAAGAGAACTATACCTTTTCTGTTTGACAGAACCGTGAACTGCAGATCATGCGGAAGCTAGAACACCAGAATATAGTCAAGTTGAAGTATTTCTTTTATTCATCAGGTGAAAAGGTGAGAGATATGTTAATATGCTACTGTTGCGAGGAGTACCTGGCTGAGTGGTCAGAGTGCTAGGATGCAATGCAGGGTACCTAGGTTTGGTCCTTGGTCACAGATGGAGACTTTTCTGAGGGGGCAAAAATATGAATCTTAACCTGCTCATTTTGTGATGACTGTACTAGCCATGTAGCCTAAAATCTTCAGGCTCAAGACATTCCTGACTTAAATGTGACTAATTCGGGCAGTAAATTTAGCAAATCTTAAACTTTTTGTCAGTGTGGCGTGGCATTCGTTGTTGTTGCAGTGAATGCACTATGTGCAGTCTACAGAGGGAATCGCAAACAGGAAAACATCCTGAAAGATTATCTTTGTCCCAGTCTCGCTGGTTAAAGTAGAAGATTCTGGGTTTGCCCACATCTGATTCTCCACTGTTCATAAATTGAATATTTAAATGTACTAAAATAGACACGCTATTGCTCACTGACATACACTGTTAAAATAACTTTTAAAAGTCTGGAAGAACATAAACAAGTATAACATTTAACATGGAAACATACTCTAATCATAGGACTGGATGGGGATATTTTAAAAAAAAAGCCCCCGGATTGATATTGGACTGATATGTCCAATTATCTAAAGCTTGTGTTCGTTGCCTCAGCTTCTGTCTCAGCCTTGGGGACACTTCAGGCAGGTTGAATCTTCTAGTCCAGTCTAGACAATCTGACACCTGCAACCACACCGGAACTTCCACCTGGGCTTTCCTGGAGCTCAGTCTGAAACTATAGTAATTGAACAGTCCCTGTAGACACATTTGGGAAAGTTCTGACCGAAGGCCACACTGCCTTCAGTCCTCATATATTGTTACACCACACACACACATATGGAGTAGGGTAGCAACATGTTCTTCTTATTCTTGAATGGGGTATAGAATAGTATTTTTCTGAAACATAATTTATACTCCTGATGGAAGAAATATTCCATCCACATCAGTTTTTAAAGGATATTATTTCTCAGCCCAGGTTTTGACATCACCGAGAGAGAACACAGTCAGCTGTGTGAATTGTTCTGCTCTCTTTACATTAGTTCTCCTTTACTTACTGATGAATGGCATATGGAAACAGAAGACATGGATGACCTAAGGAAACCTGGAGGAGAGAGAGAAAAGGGAAATGAAGGAATGTAAAATGACATGGGATACCATTGGCAGAAAAGCAGCAGATTGGCCACAGTGAAGATAACTCATAAATGCTTTATGTGTAAACAACAATTTGAAGAGGATATAGGTAAATGGACGGATGACTAGTAGATAGATAGACAGACAGACAGAGGTATGGATAGATGGATGTAACAATAGATAAATAAAATGGCATATAGACAGACAGACTTGTAGGTAGAACTGTTACTTCCCTCAGTTCTCTCTCTCTCTCTTTTCAACAGTGTTTATTGTCTCATTTGAAGTGGCATATAGTATAGAATGAAACTAAACCAGTATATTTTTTGTGTCTATACATTCCACTCAGCAGCACCATCACCTATAGCACATGTGGCACTAGACACATATTTTGTTACACCAGTCGGAACTCTGAGAGTGCCATTGGACACATGGCACTAGACGCATATTTTTGTTACACCAGTCGAAACTCTGAGAATGCCATTGGATATATATGGCAAAAGATGCATATTTTGTGACACCAGTCAGAACTCTTGAGAGTGCCATTAGACATATGGCACCAAACATATTTTGTCACACCAGTGGGAACTATGTGAGTACCATCAGACTTATGGCACTAGGCACATATTTTTCATTACACCAGTTGATGCTTTATGAGTTCCCTGGGACATATCGTGCTAGACACGTATTTGTATACACTAGTCGGCACTCTATGAGTGATGTGGTCAACATCACGCCAGCCGCCTTTACTTCCTAGGACATTTTCCTAATATCTGTTTTAGGCTGGGTCGAACTGGGAACCAAGATAGGTTATTTAAGAAAATCTACCTCAGAGCAGGTTTAAATCCAGGACCTTCGGGCCAGCAGACAAGAGTCCAGCCCACTGCGGCACCCCCCCCCCCCCCCCCCCCCCCCCCCCCCCCCCCCCCCCCAGACCTTTATTAAAGGCAAATCAACTGGTTGCAAAATGTAGGATTCCTAGTTTTGATGCATGATGTTGCTGTAGAAGTGGAAAGTATGGCCATTTGAAATGTGTTGCTTGTTGTTCATCTATCCACCCTTGTTTGAAAGAGGTCTGTTTCTTGCTTTGGTTTGCAGAAAGATGAGGTGTTCCTCAACCTTGTGCTGGAGTATGTCCCGGAGACTGTCTACCGTGTCGCCAGGCATTACAGTAAATCCAAACAAACTATACCCATCATTTTCATTAAGGTAAGTCACGAGCTTCAGATGTTTCTTCTTCTGCATTCTTGAGGCATTTATGGGATTGAGCCAGTCTGGCTGTGTCGGGTTTGCAGGTTCTCGGGGCAAAATGGTTCAGTTACTACTACTGTTTAAGTAAGTCACTGGAGAATCTAAGGCAGTGACTAGAGGGGTGGTTGGCCGAATGGATAAGATAGCGTCTTTCTCTCATGCTCTTATTCTTTTGGATCAAAAATAAAATCCTAACCTGCACACTGTGGCGACAGCACCGGCCATCTGGTTCAAAGACTCCCCCTGCCTACACTGCAAAAGTGGTAATACAGGCAGTGGTGCCAGTGTTACTGGGAAGTTGTCTCAGTGGTGAAATGATTGGTTCACTCGTGTTGTCTCCATGGTGAAGTGGTTGGTTTAGTCATTTACCTTAAACTCTGCAGGCTGTAGGTTTCATTTTGGGGTCCATTTGTGAAAGCAGGTGTTTCAGTGATCCATGGAGATCGTTGCTGAGGTTCTGAAGTTTGTGCTTTGTCAGCGCTGTCACTGTTAAACAGCTGCACTGCGTAGAGAGAAATACTGTTGGCCACTCATAGAAGGGTAGAGGATTAATATATATGAATTTTTATCTCAGGCTTTAGTCAGTGGTTCCCACTTCACTTACACCTACAAACCCCTCAGATGTCACAATCTGCGATGTACCTCATACATTTTAATAGTCAAACTGAAGAACTTATCATTTATAAATATCTTCTTTTGTACATCAGCTGTAAACTCTGGCGGAAAATTCTGGTTGTTCTTCCACTTCTGGGCTCTGGTCTTGTTCCAGAACTTGAGTTTTGCGTGCACATCTCTGCTTTACCAATCTGGTTTTTTTTTTTTTGGCAGACTGTTGGTTCATTGCCTCTCAGGCAGATGCACTCTGACTTTGAAGGAAACTCCTAATTAGTCGGACTCTGACAACATGCTTGTCAAGGAGGCAGTGGAACTATTTTTGTTTTCCTCCACAATGGGACCTGAAACCTTGCACGGGGAATTTATAAATATTAGAATTACACATACAAAATTGCATTATACAGTTGAGAATTCTCTTATCACCTGTTGTGGGAGCCGCATTATCGCAGTCGATAGGAGACTCGCTTTCAATTCCAGCTGCGACTCGCTACAGCCCACGGCCGGTGTTCGAATCCGGACGGTTCCCAGGGTTCACCCAGCCTCTAGGAAATGGGTACCAGAGAACACTCTGGGGTAAATGGAGGAACGTCGCTGTAGCTACGGAGTTTCGTGCGGATGGCGACATAGACGGATAGGTTCTTATCAGCTGCCCGTACTAGTAAAGGTCCTTTTTCCAAGCCTTTAGGCGTATAGGACATATAGGGCTAGACCTACATTTTTATAGACCAATCGGCACAAGTGGGGTGGTGTGGTCATCATCACACTGGCCGCATTTACTTCCCAGGACTGCACCCTGTACCCACTCTAGTGGTACTAGTGGCAGAGCACTTATGGTTTATAACTATGTGCAGGGACGCTGGTTCACATCTCCTGACTTAACCTTTTATCACATGTTGTTGTATTCTATCACAGGAAGCCTTCCTTTATCAATTGTAGAATTCTCTTATTACATGAAGTATGATGACATGAAGCATTTATTTGTCTCATGTATGTAGCATTCTTTTATCGGATGAGAGAAATATTCTCCTATCACATATTGTTGTATTCTTTTATCACATATTTTATTATCTTATCACATGAAGTATTATCTTATCACGTGTATTCTCTTATGGCATGTTATATTCTCCTATCACATGTATTCTGGTATCACATGTATTTTCTCATCACACGTATTTTCTCATCACATGTTGTATTCTCTTATCACATGTTGTATTCTCCTATTACACATTGTATTATCTTATAATATGTTGTATTCTCTTATCACATGTTGTTTTCTCTTGTCACATGTTGTTTTCTCTTGTCACATGTTGTTTTCTCTTGTCACATGTTGTTTTCTCTTGTCACATGTTTTATTCTCTTATCACATGTTGTATTCTTTTGTCACATGTTGTTTTCTTTTGTCACATGTTTTTTTTTTCTCTTGTCACATGTTGTATTCTCTTGTCACATGTTGTATTCTCTTGTTGCATGTTGTTTTCTTTTGTCACATGTTTTATTCTCTTGTCACATGTTGTTTTCTCTTGTCACATGTTGTATTCTCTTGTCACATGTTTTATTCTCTTTTCACATGTTTTATTCTCTTGTCACATGTTTTATTCTCTTGTCACATGTTTTATTCTCTTATCACATGTTTTATTCTCTTTTATCACATATTGTATTCTTTTATTACATGTTTGATTCTCTTATCACATGTTGTATTCTCTTATCATTTATAATGTGCTCTTATGACATGAAGTAGTCACACATTTGACATCTCTCTTGCTGGAGTGCTACTTCTATCCCTTACTGCCTTTGCCCAGTTTTGGCATGACTAGCATGGGGCTTCAGGAATGTTTCTGCCAAGATGGTGAATAAATGTTATCTTTCCATGACTGTTTCCTTTGATAATTGACATGGATGTGGTAGCCAGCTGCTTACCCGATGTTTTGTTCTCCTTGACCAGCTGTACATGTACCAGCTGTTCCGCAGCCTCGCCTACATCCACTCCCAGGGGGTCTGCCACAGGGACATCAAGCCTCAGAACCTCTTACTGGACCCAGACTCGGGAGTGTTGAAACTCTGTGATTTTGGAAGGTGGGTGCTATTGAGTGCGACGTGGGTGCTAGTGTTGTGTATCTTTTCATGTTGGTACAGATGACACCAGCATTGCAGAACCCACAAAAATAGTTGATGCCAATAGAGTACTATTCAGCACCTTATTTTTACCAGCATTGTGTTACCAATGCCAAACGTGGACATTAACAGCAAAAAAGGAAATGAAACATTGAAACAACAGAAACGATGAACCTACAGTGAATCCTAAATGTAACCAGAAGAGACAGGATCAGAAATGATTTCAGGAAACGTTGGGACGAACCAGTGCTAAACTGCATCAATAGACAACACATCACAGGGTTTGGACATGTGTCAAGATTGTCACAAGATAAATGCATCACAGAGCGTCTTGACACTAGAACACAATGGAAGTAGAGTGGTTCCAGATGCAAGCGATGGATAGTTTAAATATCTAAGGCGATGAATACATGCATCTGAGCTGCACACACCAATGCTTGAAACAGATGCCTTTTCAAAACTTGATGCTGAAAGGCAGAACAAACTCTAGAGAAAATAAAGAAAGAAGAAGACAATGGTAGTGTTGTTAATCGATATGGAGCAGCTAGAGTTTCTGGGCCATCTCCACAACAGAGCTTATCTATAAGAGTGTTGTGTGAGATGGCAGAGCATCTTTAAATCACTAAAATAGAATGTTTTGAAGTGACTGTGACCACTGTAGTTTAGGTTATGAAAACAGCAGCATTGAGATGACCAGACTCACAGTACTTTTAGATGGCTACAGTTAAATTAGCTTTGATTTGGCTACAGTCACAGTAACTATGAGGTGACTGCTATCAAAATAGCTTTTTGATGGCTACTGTGAAAAATTAGACTACAATTAAAGTAGTTTTTAGATAGCTATAGAGAAAAATTAAACTACAAGTAAATTAGCTTTTAAAAGGCTACTGTGAACAAAAATTAAAGAATTTTGAGAGAATGTTGCAGCAGGAAGTGTTTGTGGCTAAAATCATAGTCAATTTGAGGTGGCTTCAATCATAGTAGCTTTGTTGTATATACAGTCATATTAGCTTTTAGGTAGATATAATAATAGTAGCTTTAAGGTAGCTGCAATCAGTAGCTTTGAGGTGGCTACAGTCATTGTAGATTTGAGGTGGCTACAATCATAGTAGCTTTTAGGTGGCTACAATCATAGTAGCTTTGAGGTATCTACAATCATATTAGCTTTGAGGTAGCTACAATCATAGTAGCTTTGAGATGGCTGCAGACATAATAGCTTTGAGATGGCTACAATGATGGTAGCTTTGAAGTGGCTACAAATACCTCCATTTTCGGTGAAAAAGAACCATTGCCCCTGACAAGTTTTTCATAAAAGGAGACTAATCAGGATTTTGCTGAAATCAAATGAGTTGGGCCGACAAGTGCAGATATTGCAGCCTAGCTGTAAACCACAATATAACATGCCACCCACCTGTTAAAGAGTGAATGTAGAAGAACAAGGAGTTAAAACATAAGAACATCGAATTGGTTTGCCAAGTCTAACATTGGGGATATTTAAAGAAATATTTGTGCAACTCAGTGGTTGAGAGTTTAGCAAATGTGGTTAACAATGTCATGATCCTAGAGTACTAACATTCATTCCCTGCGGTGGATAGTAAAAACAGAAACCGCTCTTCTGGTTTTCGGACAATAGTACGAGAATTGGTTTTTCGGACAGCCATACAAGATTTGGTTTTCTGGCAGTAGTACAAGAGTTGGCTTTCAGAAAATAGTATGAGAGTTAGTTTTGGGACAACAGTACGAGAGTTGGTTTTCACACAATAGTACGAGAGTCAGTTTTCAGACAGTAGAACAAGAGTAGCGCCATAGAAGAGATTGGAGCCTCACCATATATTTCCAAGGGCAGCAGTGGCACATTGTAGCCGACCTTCGTTGTGAAGATGGCACAGAAATTGTATTAGTAAAAAATTGATTGATTGGATCCTTTATGTTTCTACAGTTTTTGTTTGTTGTGGGGGGGGGGGGGGGGGATTTTGCATTGTTGATGCCTTAACCTTTTTTTCCCTCTAACATTACTTAGTATTCATTCTGCCTCTACAGTGCAAAAGTATTAGTCCGAGGGGAGCCAAACGTGTCCTACATCTGCTCTCGTTATTACAGAGCACCGGAGCTTATCTTTGGTGCCACTGATTACACTTGCCAGATTGGTATGTTGACATCTGTTGTCTAGTGTTTGCTTGTGATAGATTTATTCCTGGCTAATTTACTCTTGCTAACTACTTTGTAGTCCTGCGGATACTGTTAGATCTAGAGCATGCACCTTCTGGTTTTGGGTTCAAATCCTTGTTAAAAAATATTTTCCCATTATGCCGTAGAAGTCCTGTAGAGCCACATTGTGAATACCTTATCTCCATAAATGACTGCAATGGGAACTGCTGAAAAGAAGTTTGAAGAAAGCGAACAAACTTTATTTATAGAGGGTTAAGAATTGGACACTGAAGTCCATCTAACATTCTGCCCTTCTGGCCTCACTCTTGACTTACATTGTTTCATTTATAATCTTTTGAGGTTTTGAACAACGGATCAACATCATGGCACACTGGTAGTAACCTGTAAGTGCTCCGTTCTTCTTCTAACTCAAGTCTGAATTTGAAGAAGCTCAGCACAGTGCTCAGGCTCTGTAGCACCGGCAAGGATCCTTAAATACTCTTAAGTAGATTTTTAACTCAAAATTTTGCCCGTGCAGTGCCATTAGGCTACTCTTTACGAATTCTAACATTAGAAGGATTGTTACGCGATGCACACATGCATCCAATCTCACTACCCAGAGACCAGGGGAAATTATTAGAAGTCCAAGTCGACGTAAAAAGATCTCATCCCTTACCGGGAATTAAACCCATAACCTCTAGTACTCGAGGCGGACACCATGCCTAGAGACCACGCAGCTCCCCCCCCCCCCCCCCCCCCTGTTCTTTTTTTTTAACAGACAATAATAAACATCATCAGTATTACTGAATATTAATTGCAAACGCTGGAATATGCTCAAGTTATACCTGTATTTCTAAACAATGATAAAGGTATTTCATAAATCCACCACAGTCAAAGTGTTTCAATAATTGCCTGCTGTGTCATGAGAGTTGTGTAGTTTGTAATGTGAAAACATGTCAGCATGAAACAAAGTCACTGTGGAGAAACTTGTGGAACACCCTATAATTCTTAGTGTGCTAATTGTGATACATATCTAGGATATGTAACACATTCTTCACATATTGTTGTGATCATTTTCCTTTATCCTTCACGTTCAGAAGCTTCTGTTATTTGTTAACTGATTATAAAATAGTCTACAATCCATATCGGTAAGTTGCCACAGGAAAGATGAACATTCTGTCACAAGTTTTACTTAAGCTTGTAAAAAAATCATCATCATCAAATTTTCACTTTTGCCATTAAGCATGGTGAGGAGGAACAGTTTGCAATGCATTGTTTGATGGAAACAATGGCTATTGTTATTCCCTGTTAATTAGGTTCCTCGGGTCACGCCACTAGCCGTGCTGGATTATCACTGAGCAGGGCAGTCATTTGCCCTGGCCATCATAAAGGTTGCTGAAGGCTGAGGACATAGTCTGACCCCATCTGGCTGTGGAAAGCAAGGAGAAACTACCACATTATTATCAGGACATAGTCTGACCCCATCTGGCTGTGGAAAGCAAGGAGAAACTACCACATTATTATCCCAAGACATTTATTATGGAAGCCCAAAGTCCTTAAGAAAGAAAATAGGGGCTTTTAGCTGAAATTTCAGAAATGCTATTGAAGGACAAAGAATAGAAGAAGTGCTGACATTTTAAAAGATTAGAACATCAAGGAAGACTAATAAACAGCATCTTGTCTCCGAAGCTGGAATATTTTGGTCATATCAAGTGCCATGGTGGATTGGAAATAATAATACCAGAAGGCATGGTACCAGGAAGGAGGGGCAGGGGCAGACCAACACAAAGATGGGCACAGGATGTAAGTAACTTCTTGAATATGAAAGTACACAGGGCTGGAGAGCTAGCAAGAGACCGAGTTTCTGTCAGGCAGACCGTGATGAGAGCAAAGTTATGCAAAGGCCCTGCTACGTGATGATTGTCTCAGCAAAGCGATTTAGCATACACACACATTGAATGGATGGGTAGCCATCAGAAATTCTAACACAAATATTCCACCACTATAATTGCAGTTTATTGTCAATGAAAGCAGCAGTTTCAACAAATCAGCAGCTGCACATGCAATATCACATGAGGCACCACTAGTTATATGGCTACAGGCCACTCGTCATTTTCTGAATCTACACTTTATAACCAATTGGGCACAGTCAAAAAAGTATTCCGTATGATACCTGCAGCTCACAGTATTGCACCATCCCTTCAGCTCAATAGATGGGAGATGGAACTATATTATTTCAGTCTACTTATGGAGGAAAATGCAACAGCTAACCATAGCTAGAAGCTAAAAGTTTGCCAAAACTGCCATATTGTCTCTTATACATGTATCTTGTATGTTTGGTCGACTCAGTCCTTAAATGTCTCTTGTCAGATGTGTGGTCAGCTGGCTGTGTCCTGGCAGAGTTGCTACTGGGTCAGCCCATTTTCCCTGGGGATAGCGGCGTAGACCAGCTGGTGGAGATTATCAAAGTTCTAGGGACACCCACTCGTGAGCAGATTCGAGAGATGAATCCCAACTATTCCGAGTTCAAGTTTCCACAAATAAAAGCTCATCCCTGGTCAAAGGTAAGATTGGGCTAATGATTGTGTTCTTAGTTCTGGTTGAAGATATGATTGCATCGATGATTGTATTCTCAGTTCCTGGATGAAGGTAGACTAAGCTAATGATTTTATTCTTGGTCCTTGATGAAAGGTAAACTAGGTTTAATGATTTTGTTCTTAGTTTAGTTTAGTTCCAGGTTGAAGGTTAGATTGGGCTAATTATTACATTCTTAGATCCTGCTTGGAGGTAAGATTGTGCTAATGATTGTATTCTTTCAATGAATATGCTCAAGAAGCTATACAAGGACAATGGGTGGAGTCTCTGAATAGATCTAGGCGGACAAAAATCAGTTTCAAATATGTTCTGGGGCATTTTGGGCAATGAACGAGCTGATAGACTTGCAGCAGGTGATGGAATTGGACGAGCAGTGGACAGGGCTCATATACTGAATGCCCTCAGAGAGGCAGCTTAGTTAAACAAATTATGTAATGATTGTGAATCTGCAAAGGTGACTAGACGACATGAACTTAACATCAAAAGGGGTGAAGACAGACAAGAGCCCTACACAGGGGCCCAAAAAAGAATAGTAAACCAACACAGAACTGGTGTCATAAGCCACTACACACTGAGGGAGATACTGTAGAGGAGATCCGAGCACTTATGGACTGAAGGGTTCGATGTGGGATAACGATAATCTGTCGACAAACTATCTAACTGTATTCTTTGTTAATTCCTGGTTGAAGGTAAGATTGGGCTAATGACTGTATTTTTACTCAGTCCCTTATGAAGATAGGATTGTGCTAACAATTGTATTCTTAATTAATCTCTGGTTGAAGGTAAGCTTGGGCTAATGATTGTATTCTTAGTTAATTTGTGGTTGAAGGTAAGTTATGCTTAGTTCTTAGTTGTAGGTAAATTTGAGCTAATGATCATTGTCTTAGTCCCTGGTTAAAGGTAAACTATGATAATGATTGAAACAGCTGTAACAGCAATGAGTGGCAGAACACAAGACTGAACGGGCAAGGATGATCAACACCCAACAGCTTGGACTGTATGATTAGCTTTACACCAGAGGAAGGTTAGGATTTCAGCATTAAAGACATTCACAGTTTTTAAACAGTAAGATCAGTCAGTGCAAAGCGGTACTGGTGACAGCATTGACACTTGAGACGTTCAGAGGACACCTGACCAATATCAGGACCTCTCACCAAAAGAAAAGAATCATTAAATCATCTGGGAACCACCAGCCCCAGTACAAGACGACTATTTTATTATGGACAGACCAGAGCAAGTCATTATCCTTCGCCTCAGAACAGGGCACAGCCGATTACGTATTCACATGTACACAAAATTCAAGATAGGTGTATCAGCCATGTGCACCTGTGGAAAGGTGCCCCAGACAGCAGAACATGTACTCCAGGACTGCACAGAATTTGACACATTAAGGCAAACCTTTTGGCCAGAAAGAAAACAGTGGAACTTAAACTCTGTGGACCACTGAATGAACTAACAATGACAGTGAAATTTATACAAGAGACAAAACTGCTGATATAGATAACTTATTTCAGGTGAACGAAAGAAGAAGAAGGACCTCTCAACAGAAGAAGATGGCAAGCCAAACAAGGACAAGGAGCGCATGGACAGATAAGAAGTCACAATACCTCAGAATGTCACCGCATAGGATATAAGGAAAACCAGCCAATGATAAATAATAGTCATACCAGAGACACAGGAAGCACAGCCAGGAAGATGAACATGCAAAACGGACCCCCTCCTCTCCCAGGGACCACAGGACAGCACAGAGGACCCAGACATGTTCAAAGATAACACCATCACACACCTTTATGATCAGTAAGCCACAAATTCTGGCCCAGCTAACCATTTAAGTCATTAAACTTGGTGCAGATAAAACCAGACCACAATTATAATCAGAACTGTCTTCAGTAGGATTCTTCTTCTTCTTCTTCTTCTTCTTCTTCTTCTACTTCTTCTTCTTTGCGGTCACTAGTTGCAGGCTGTGGCAGAAAGTTCTGGCTGTTCGTCCACTTCTGGACTGTAGTCCTGTTCCAGAACCTGAGTGTTGCCTGCGCATCTGTTTCACAGATCTGACTTATTTGTATGCAGACTGTTGGTTCCTTGACTCTCAGGCAGTTACACTCCGACTTCGAAGGAAGCTCCTAAATTAGTTAACTCTTACGACATGCTTTTGGGTAGGCAGTGGGTCTTATCCCCCCCCCCCCCCCCCCCTTTAATAGGGCCCTGGAACCCACACAGAGATTCAGCAGGATTGAACATGTTTGACCCCCTCTCCCCCTTTTTCTAAAAAATGAACGGTTGTGGATAAACAAGATGACTAACGTCGCACAACATAGACTATGTGAAGAAAATAAGAGGCAGTGTGAAATGGCTGATTTACAATACTTCTATATCACAGGTGTTTCGCCCACGGACACCGTCGGATGCCATCTTGTTGGTGAGTCGACTACTAGAATACACCCCGTCAGGACGCATGACACCCTTGGAGGCCTGTGCCCACACATTCTTTGATGAGCTTCGGGATCCGAACACACGACTGCCCAGTGGCCGGGACCTGCCACCACTGTTCAACTTCACCCCCACTGGTAATTCTTGTCGCTTCTGCTATTTGCTACTAATCAGTTCCTACTATCAGTTAATCTGCTTTCTACTACGCTGGTTAACCCTTGAACCTTTGCAGATATCATGTATTTTGTGTACTAAAAGTGCCACCATTATCAAAACACTTGACGTGGGAGCTTACCAAAGAATTTTGTGGAAAATCTACTGTAAGCACTACCGAATTATTACCCTTAAAGAGTCATTGAAAAGTAATCTGGTAATTTTAGTTTCAGCTTCATAGCAAACGGGTCACCCCATTTTTGCTCCGCTCCTGTGTCAACGAAAAACACACAGAATGTTTATCACAGTCCCTTGTGGAAAGACTGACAAACTGCTGTCTCAGCAAATCTAGCATACACTGGCATTAAAAGCATATGGTAGTCATCCGAAGCGCTAACACAAACAGTCCGACATTAGAAATGCAGTTCATCATTGATGGTAGCAGAAGTCACCAAAAGATCGGCAGTTGCACACGCGATCAATTTTAATCAAATAATGGCCCCTGAAATATTGCGACAACCGTAATTCGGGCCATTTTCTGAATCTACAAATCACACCACCACGTTGGTCAGTTGAAAAGTTGAATGGACCAATGGTTTCAACAACATTTAATGCAAAATTTGCAGTTTTAACATGGCAGCAAGCGTGCAAAGTTACGATCGCAGGGGTGGGATCATGGTAGCAAGGTGTAAAATTGATGGATCGCATAACTTACGATCATGGTAGTCAGTGGGTTAATTTAAACTGGTCACTGGCTGCTGAACCTCAGGGCAGAGCTCCTATGGAAATATCCCAAGTGCTGTGATGTTAGTTGTTAACTCTGCTTGTCAGATGGGGAGCTGTGGTGTCTCAGTGACTAGCACATTGGTCTGCCACTGAGGGGCCATGTGTTTGAATCCCTTTTGAGCAGGGCTTTTTTTCTGGCAGTACACAGTACCGGCACCCTATTCAGACATAATTTTTTATTAGGGGCTACTGTAACAGACACTGTACTGTGGGTACCAGCACCTTGTTTTAGACGCTTTGTGATGAGTACCGACACCTTGTTTCTAGAGAGACATGTATTTGTCCATAGGCCCTGTCTAACATGCGTACCGTTCTTGTGTGGATTTTAAGTTTTCTGTCTGGTGGGGGAAACCCACTGCCTTTCTGATATGAATGTTCTAAAGAGCAGACTAATTAAAGGTTGCTGAAATCAGATATATGTCACATTCGTTTATTCATTGTTCTATTTTGCCATTGTCACAAAGTGCTCGCAGGCCGGTCCTCTATTCTTTTATATCACTTTGATATCATGGATAGAATCCAGTCCAGCACTTTTGACCTCTTTCATAACTGTCTGCTGTAGGGCTTCTCTTGGATGTCCTTCTGTCCTCAGTCCCTCTTGTTTCCCGTTTCAGTTCTTGTGTGGTGATTCTCTGCTGGATTCTTCTCAGGATGTGTCCAGTAAAGCGCCATCTTCTTTGCCTTATAACTGTGGATACTAGTCATTGCCCCGACATTTTTCTTATTTCTTTACTCTTTTTTCCCCCCAATTTATCCCATTTTTTGTTCATAATTTTCCACAAGCATTTTCTGTGAGGTGCATTAAACTTTCCTTTCATGTCTGGCACAGCCTAGCTGTAAACTAAAACCTGTCAGGCTATCTGCTCTTTTGAGAGCCAATGCAGACAAGAAATGGGGGTTATAATATTTTCTGATAATTAGAGGCAGCCATATTGCTTTAAGCTCATCAGCTAGATAAAAACCTCAGCTGGATATAACACTTGTCAATATTTTACCTCCTGAAACCTGAATATTTGGCATTTGACAAATGGCATTTTTTTAAAATTCATTTGTCGGTGCGATTTCCAGAATTTATTTAGTGTTTTCTTCCCCGCTACATCTATCACAACATTTTCCCAAATGCTTCCCTTAGCCTCTTTGTCACAGATTTAAAGTGCATTACTCAGGATTTGTTTATTTTGATGTTTTCTCTCAATATCTTCATAATTTGCAGGCCTTAGTTTTTCTGAAAATATATAAAGGGGTGATGAGTTAATGTCACATATCGCTCCTGTCATGTGCCTGATGTAAGGATTTCTCCTTCAGAACCAACAGCACTCAGAAATAATTATGTTGAGACGTTTGGCTCGTATTGGTCTAAGGGATTCCCCGTGGCCAATATATGCTCAACTTATTTCTGGAGTAGGGCAACTCAAGTATTGGCACTACAAAATATATCAGTATATGAATACAATATTCCTAGGCACACTTGGCTGGACACCCCCACTACTTACTAAAGAAAGCCCCCAGGTTATGATAAGTCATTATCATAACCATGTTAACACATATAGCTAAGATTCATACACACACAAATGCTACACATTTAAAAAGGTGAAATAGAGAAACCTAAGTCAGCCATGAAAATGAATGCATGTAATCATTACAACATGTACAAAATAGAAAATAGTGAGGTAGATGTCAAAACACAACAGCTGGATTCCAGAATACAATGACTATAATCAACCAAAGTTAAACAGTCAGAAAGTCCTGGAGGAAGCATATATTCATCCTTGGAATCCAGTGGAGCTGTGGGGAATATAGCATAATTGAGACATAAACTTCACTTATCCCAGTTCCACTGTTGATGCCTCACTCAGCTCCGGGTGAATCGACTGTCTTTGACCCTGGTACTTCTGCTCAACTGGATCAGGTAATGGAAGAGTACCTCACCATAGAGGACGCAGCAACTGGATAGGCACACAGCACCTTGATAGGCACACAGCAACTGGATAGGCACACAGCAGCTGGATAGGCACACAGCAACTGGATAGGCACACAGCACCTTCTCCCACGTGTAACTCACAGCACGGTCCCTGAGCTACACACATGTTCTGGCACTGGATGATGTTTGGTTTATATTGTACCCCATCTTGAGGAGGACAGTCTTCTCAATTGGTAGTTGGGTGATAATAAGTAGGTGATGGGTTAATTGATTGATGGGTTATGGTTTTTGGTTGGTGGGTGTTGGTTGGACTGTGAATCTTCTGCCAGCTCCTCACAAAGGATTCATCCCAAGCATATGAAAGGTCCTAGACATTACAGATCGCCTTGTTTAAATGAATTATACAGGCATCGATTGACACGTCTGGACGCTAGGAAGCCGGCAAGAGAGAATCCGCCAATTACGCACTTCAGGCGTTAGTAAAAAAGGAGTTCCTAGTATACATGGGCAAGGAGTAAATCGGTTTCTAAGAAACCTCAAATAACTCCTCTAATATATATCCAATATATATACATTTAAAAGTGGAGTTTAGTCAAAGCAACTAGAAAATGTAGACATAATAATGTTGTCCAATAAAGGCATATATGAATAGATATAAAGGACTATATCTTTCCGGACGAGTCCAAGTTTGAATTTTGTGCCGATTACAGGTAGATCAAGTTACCAGCCTTACGGACTGATGCGTAATGGCTTATCATTCCACAACAGTTAACATGAACAGATTGAGGCAGTAAAGGAATTCATTACCTGGGCCATGAAGAAAACCCAAAATGTATTGGCTGTGACCTATATCAGGACAATCTGACATCAGCTTGGCTTTACTGTGTTCATATCCTGGGCTATTCAACACTGCACAAACACATAGAAGGACCAATGGAATGTAACGACGCTTTTCGATAACAGGTCACTACAAACATGGCTATGTATAGACGACATGGCACAACAAAAAGTGACTAGAGTTAGGCTTCTGGCGGCAAAAGGGTAAATAGTTTTTAAAAAAAAGTTTTAGAGAAGTATTTTCTGAATAACGTCCCCTCATTTGATCTTGGCAAAAGATTCAAAGTTTTTTTTTTATTATACAGATCTCCCTAATTGCTGTAATCTCCTCCCACAGATTCACACAAGAAGAAACTCATGTGTTTATTACATTTAATGATTCTATCATACCATCTAATTTTATCTATTCTGCGCAGGCATCATTTAATGTCCAGTTGTAGTTTATTAGTAATTGTTTTAATTCTTTGTTTCAGCTCCATACAAAAGTACTGATTTGACATTAAAGATAACTATTTTAAGTTTCTTACAATTTTTATAAAGAACTAGCTGTACCCGGCCACACATTGCTGTGGCATAGTTTGGCTAAATGGAAAAGAAAGAAAATAGAAATCGCACATGTCTAATATGGTTATTGTCGCAATCATTGTCTGCTCAGATATAGAGATAGTCTTTGATCCCCCCCACCACCACTAAATTCACCTACTACTCTCTCCCTCATTAAAAGGTTTTTGGAAAAGAAAGACAATAGAAATCGCAGATGTCTAATATAGTTAATGTCGCAATCATTCTCTGCACAGATATAGAGATAGTCTGGTTTTCCAACTTTAGATTACGCACCATATAATTGTGTCTTTATATTAGTGGTCGTTTAAATGGTGTTATTAGCACAGTAACAAAAATGGTTATTTGGTTATCACATGCTAAAGCTGTTTGTATTTTTATAGGAGACGGAAGTAAAGCTACTACTGTACTTGTAAATAACAAAGTAAGTCGTACAAAAATTAGAGTAGCGGACGGAGCGTTAGTAAAATCTAAACAAATTAACTAATGAGAACTTTAAAATCATATGTTAAAGCTCTTTAAGTTAACAATTTCAGTCATTACCACCTCCCATTACCTCCCCTCCCCTCCCCCCCCCCCCCCCCCAATCCACCGACTACTGATCTCTCCCTCTTTGAAGGATTTGAAAATCATCACCTGGCGTTATTTTTTTTTTTGTAACTGACATTGACATCCCTGTCCATCCGGACTAAAATAGAGAGCAGGAATTGTAATAAGTAGTAAATGGGGCTAGTGTAATATTTACAACATCACCCTTTAAGTACCAGTACAACTACTACCACGACCACCACCACAATAGCTAAAATAATGTCACTGCTGTCTATTTTACCATTGGAGTAGACAGGTAGTCGTGAACCAGAAGATTTGGTGCCGTATGGCTAGTGCTATCACCACAGACTGGTCAGGTTAGGATGTATAATTTTGTTCCACGACAGAACAACGCTATAACCTTACCGGCGGTCTTCGCATGAGAGCACTATGGTGTAACTGCCCAACCACAACTACTACTGCTGCTGCTACTTTGAGTGGGTAAGGCAGTTACTGTGACTTAAAGCTCTCCCATTAAAGAGTGCCCCCCACACCCCCAATTTACCGACTACTCTTTTCCTTATCGAAGTAGTTGGGAGAAAGAAAAAAAAAACAATTGAAAAGCAATGAAAACGGGAAAATTACACCATAATTAGGAAATGAACGCTATGGTAAACCGCACAGCTTAAAATTCCAACGCAGATGAAATAATTAAATCTAAATGAAAATAAATGGAAAGCTATGAAATTTCAGCGTAACCATGCAATCGGAAAGTTTAAAATGAAATCATAAGTATGCAAAATTGTCAAATTTAATTATCAACTGGTTTACCCACATACCTGTCCTTTTTTTTTTTTTTTTTTAGTATTAAGGGCCACATGGCTAGTGCTGTCGCCACGACAGTGCAGGTGAAAATTTTATTTTGCCCCCGGGAAGAAAAGGAAAAAAAAAAAAACTACTGCGGATTCGAACCCTGGTCTCCCGCACAGGAGCCCAGTGTTCTAACCATTCGACCAAGTAACACTCCATCGCAACAGCGAAAAGAGAACAAAACTATTTGAGATGTGTGTTCCTACTACTGTGTCCCGATTATAACACAACTCAAAACCGCAGACAATTGTTTTCTCATAGACAGATATTCCAGATATATTATTGAAAAGGCACAATAGAAATGGCGATGTGTCTAACACGGTTAATGTCGCAGTCATTGTCTGCGCAGATGTCGAGATAGTCCTTGATGCCCCTCTCCCCCTTTCAAATCCATCGGCTACTCTCCAACTCATCGAATTTTGTTTGAAAAGACAGAAAATAGAAATCATGTCTAATATGGTTATTGTGGCAATCATTGCCTGCACAGATATAGAGATAGTCTTGTTTGCTGGACCACGGCCTACTCTATTTATTAGAGAAGGTGTTGGCTGTACGTATCTCACCGGCGAATGGTGGAAGTCTTGCATTCTGACTACGGCGCATGCGCATTTACTAACGTGACTATAATTAAATGTCACTAAAAATGGAAATATTAGTTTCAAAGATTTTTCCAAAAATTGTGGTCACCTATCTCTAACAAAGACAGGTTGAATTTCAAACCATGATGGGTAAACATTCGGTGTCAAAACAAACTTATCCTGAAAATTTAAGCTAAATCAGTTCAGTAGTTTCAGAGTCTATAGCTTATAAACAAACACACAAACATTGATTTTTATATATATATATATTCAATAAAGCAAAATGTAAACCTTGTCACTACACATGACTTAGTATAGCACCCACAATAAAGGATTCAGTATAATAAAAGTTAAATCTTGTCTTTTCACAGAACCTAATTTATAGTTCCCATATAGGCATAAAAGAGTCTGCAGCCTGTGATTGTGGAGCAGAAAGACCGACCCCTGAGCACATACTGCAGTACTGCCTTAACAACTCCCAGCAAAGACTGGATCTGGCCCGAGGGAGCTACATTGCAAGAGAAGCTATAGGGGACTGGCGGCGACCTTAAATGCACAATCTTGTTTGTTACCCAGACGGAAATGAATGTTTAGCATGACTGCTGTCAAACGCACAAGATGAAAAAGAAGATAGCCTTCTTAAAAAAGAATTCAGTATAATTAATGTAGCAAAATGTCAACCTTGTCTGTCCACAGAACTCGCCATAGCACCCACGCTCAACTCTCTTCTGATCCCATCTCACATCAAAACAACCAGTGTGGATGCAGCCAGCGCCAGCTCTAACACCATCGCTACCAGCTCCAGCGTGGCCCACTCAAATAACAATGCCCTGGACAACACCGCTGCCTCTCAGGGAGTCGTTGCCGCGGATACAGAAACTGGATAAGTGACCCTCCGATTGGATCTTTGCAGGGATTGTTATGTAATTGTATTTAATTTAAATTTATTTTTTTATTTTAAATTTATTTTTCTGTTTGTCGTAGATTCTTGGCGGACAAAGGATATATTAAATAAAAATTACTAACCCAAAAAAAATAAAATTCACGTTAGCAAACATTCAGGCCACAGAATATTGTGCAAAAAATTTGTGTTTGTTTGTTTGTTTGTTTCATAGTTATGGTTTTTCACTGGTGTATTGCCAGACTTTTTACCTTGAAACAGGCAGTTGCTTGATTGTTTGTGATATGTGGTTTTCTTTTTCATTTTGGCCATTATTTTTGGGTAAGTTTGGTTTCGTTGCACACAGAGTTGTAACTTATTTGGATGCCAGTTGTTAATGAAGAAGCTCAGTTGCCCTTCCTACTACCCATGTGTGTATGTCTATATGTGAGTGAGTTGGTGGGTTAATTCTTTGAAGGACTTGGTTGTATGTCTTAGACTAATGCAGTATTTTCTAAATAGCTAAGACATAGGACCTCTCTTATTTTTTGAAGGTCTACGTGGACTCCAGTTTTTAATAGTAACACTCAAAAACTGATAATTTGTAAATATAGAATCCATCCCCTCCCAAAGGGTTGCATTCTAAAGTTGTGGGTTTTTAGTGAATATCGTCGTCATTGTCCCACAACAGTATGAGTTATTGGGTCACAAATTGCTGTTGACTGTTTGGTCAGTTCCCTCTACCTCTGTCAGCCAGATGCAGTGGTTTGATGTGTGCATGTTTAAGGCCTGTCCATTCAGCTCAATTCCTTGGTTACCTGTGCAGTGACCAAGCAAGTGTAGAATAATCTGATCTCTCAGTCAGCATGGTGCTTCTTGGCGAGTATTTCAACCCTGGCGGAGCCCAGTCCTCTACACATGGCCATTTTTCTGTTAGTCTATATCGTCAGTGAAACCATAAGTTACTGGAGGATCTGGCCAACGCTTAACACTTGAGAGAAAGGCGAGGCGGATATACAATCAGACAGTTACTGGTGCCATCAGAATTGGAACTTCGCTTGCTGCTGAAGATAGGTGATGGCGCGCTAATGGGAGTGTTCTAAGTGCTGTGATGACGATTCCTTATTCAGCCTCCAATTGAGACAATAATCACCTGTCTGAGTGTGATGTTGAGACAGCATCAGGCTACTAGTTTTTGCTTTTCATCCTCATAGGGGGAGCTAACTGGCATGTTGGCTGCTGTGCCGGATGAGAAGAAAAGAGTCAATATCTACCAGCTCCGTTACAGATGCTGATAATCAAGATCTTGTCTTGGTATTTGAAACCTACCTTAGATATTTGAAGCAGGAGATACACATGTCATAGACAATAAAATTGCTGATAGGTTGGCTCTCACGTGGGCAACCAGTGGGTTGAGCTAGCAGCACATTTTATATTTTAAATAATCTGCACAGTTTAGCCGTGAATGGAACTCGGTGTGCCCCAGCCAGAGGCTCAAGAGATATCCTCCAATCTGCTCTGTTCAGGCTCTGTAAGACACTTAAGTGGAGCAAACCACAGCACACACCTTGGATATTTTTCTTTTCTGTTTGCTTTTGTTTTCCTGCTCCTTTTTTTGTTTCTTCCTTATTTTTCTTTGCATTCACTGGCTGTTAACTGTGGCAGGAACATCTGAGTGTTCGTCCACTTCTGGACTTTAAATCTTGTTTCAGAACTTGAGTTTTGCCTGCACATCTGCTTATTTATGTGCAGATTGTGGGTTTGTTGCCTCTCAGGCAGATGGAATCTGCCTTTGAAGGAAATATCCCTAATTAATCGCCTTTTACCACATGCTTGTTGAAAAAACAATAGGACTATTCTCTCCCCCACCCCCCCCCCCCCCCTCCCCGAATGGGGCCCTGGAACCAAACTCAGGGAGCTTTCTTTCCATTTTCCCTGTTGTGCCATTCATTGAGGTTGAGAAGGGCTGTATAGACAAGCCCTTTGCATGGTGTACCTGCACGTTTATGTTTGCGACCTCCTGTGTTTAGCTGATTCTTGATTGCTTTTCCTCCTCCTTCTCCTCTTCTTCTTCATTTGTGTTCTTGTTCTTCTCTTTCTTCTACTTCTTTTCTTCTCTTCCCTTTATTGTTGTCCTCCTCTGTCTTCTGCTTCTCCCTGCCCCCTCATTTTACTTTTCTATTCCTCTTCCTTCTCTTAACCCCTCCTCCTATTCAGCATAAAGCTGTTTGCTACAATCCAGCCTGTTTCCATTACCCTTTGTTGACAGTCCTGTCTCCCATTATTCAGTTTTTTTTTTAAAAGTAATATTTTTATAAAGTTATTCTTGCAGCAGGGTCAAGTCCCGCCTAACTTAGAAAATCCTGGGTTTGTTTTCCAACTGTCATGTGGTTCATGAACATAGTTTTTCTTTTCCCTGAAGATCATTGTAGAAGCAGTAGTCTTTTTGTTTGTTTGAGTGATGTTTCAGCTGGCAGCCAGCTGGTTTACACAGAGAGAGAGAGAGAGAGACCAAGCCTGATGAGGATTTTTTTTAAAAACCTAGTATAGTGAAGTCTCAGTGTTAAACTTGTGTTGTTATTTTTTCTTGTATAGTTCATTGTTGATGCTTGACTGTTTTGGGTGCTTGTTTCTTTATTTTATTTGATTCATTACAAAAACTTTGTGACTGTTACGTTATATGTATGCTGATAATATTTTCCTATACGGTCACATTGAAAACAGTGAAGAGTTAAACATAGTAGATAGATCCATGAATATCAGTGTCTTTATCTTATGTGTGTTTTCTTTGTTCATACTTTAAAAGGTGGTAAGCACATTGTGTTGTGATTTACAGCTAGGCTGTGATATCTGCACCTTTTGGCCCAACACATCCAAATTCACCATACTTCTAATTAAGTCATCTTTTACAACTTCCTTGTTTGGGTTCAGTGGGTCTATTCTTATTTCCTCTCAAAATGGGACATTGGGGGCACACAGGGATTTTATGTATGTTTTAATGTACGTATTGTTCATAGAGCACTGAATTTTTGCCACCATTTTGTTACACTGCCAAACCTGGATGTTAACAACAAAAGGAAAGAGAAAGGTAGAAAATAACAGAAATGAAATGTCAGCAATGAAAATGTAACAAGAAGAATCAAGATTAGAAATGACGTCAGGAAGCTAGTAGGGATGGAACCAGAGCTAAACTACATCAAGAGGTCAGAATGTTCAGATCCGCGTCGAAACCGCCCAGAGGACAATGCACTACAGTAAAAGCAGTCTAGAGGTCACCCATGCAAGCGACGGGTAGATGGGATGTATGAGGGCGTGATCACCAGCATCTACACAGCACACACACCAAGGCTGGCACAAGAGGCCACTTCAAAGCCTGATGCTAAGGGGCAGAAGAGTAATTATGAGAACAAGGAAGAATCATAGAGCTTGATGATGAAAATCTTAATGGAATTTAATCTCTTGGGCATTGGTAGTCTTGTTGGTCCACACCCTTCAGTCTCATGTACTGTCAATCATTTCTGATAAAGATGTTCTTCCTTGCCATGATCTAAACTGGTCAGCATTGTGTCTCTTGGTCCCATCTGCATGAGAATGCTGACATGTTTAACCAGACCTGCTCTAGTGTTGGCAGGAGATCTTGGAATGTCAGTTAACAAATCAGGAAAAGCTTTCTTAGATTCCTCAGTGGGTTGCCATCCCATATGGGGGGAAGGGGGGGGGGGGGGGAATTTTAAACTAATGACATTTAATTCTAAAGAAGTTCAAATAGTAAAAAGTTAACTCATGCTAAGTTCCATGGTACTGAATGGGTTTACATGCATTTTATACATTGCGACTAATTAAAGGTTTGCTGAAATTTAGAAAGTTGGAGAGAGAAGAAGACCCACTGTACAAAAAACAAGCATGAAATAAAAGGTGACCAATTAGGCCTTTGCTGAAAATAAATGTTTTGGGCTGAAAGATGAAGATATCACAGCCCAGCTCTAAACCACAACATTACGTACCAACTTACATTTTAAAGGCAAACACAGAAGAAATAGACAACATTGTAAAGGCATTCAAGGAATCATGAAAGATGGCAAGCAATAGTTGTACTTTCAGTGAGGGTCAGTCACGGAGTAAGCAGGAGATACATAGCTGACTTGTTTCTGCCTGCATTAACCAGTTTAGTGACAATATTGTTTCACAGAGGACACTCAGAGCTGATCATAACCGCAGTGGAATATAGGTGCAGTACTTGAAGGGCTCCCTATATGGTTACCTGGGCCCAGTTGTGGAGAAATCAAAAGAATAGACCGACTGCCTCCCCAACAAGTATGTAAGGTGAAGAAGTAAAAAGTAGTACTTAGAGGTTATGAAAACAGTTTCATAATCCCTACCTACCTCAGTTTGAAGTCAGCTACTTGCGATTTGGAAACAGACTATCTTACACCCAGTTTGACAGTATTGTAGTGAAGTGGTCAAGCAGTTTTCCTCATGTTCTGTAGGTTGTGAGTTTGTTTCACGGCTACACTGATCAATTCAAAAGTGCTGAAATCCCTGGGGATTATTGCTGGGGTTTTAGAACGTAATGGTAAAACCACTGAGGGTAAAATTATCCAGCAGAAACCAGACAACAGTCAGTCCAAGCTTGTTTATAAGAAATTCCAGAGAAATTTGACTTAAAAAGCTCAACAAAATGGGAAAGAGGAAAACGTGCACAAAACAACACAACATAAAGTTTTGACCGGGCAGCCTTTTTCAAACATGAGTGAAATACACAAACGAGGAATGGAGAGTATGTAGATCTCTAAGGGGTGACCTGAGCGACATTTAAAAAAATGTGATGCGGAATAAATGAAATAAAATAAAATTAACGATGGCTAAAAAATATAGTCACAATACTGGGAATAAAAGAAATACAAGTGTTAATGATACATAAATGATACTGATAAGAAATGGAATAAAGTAATAATATGAAATAAAATAAAATAGTTTACATTTAAAATGTGATAAGATTAGAACTGT